TTAGGGTCCAGGGTTCAGGGTTTTAAGGACACCCTCAGAACCCTGACAAAATCAGATGTGGACGCTTGAAAAAAGTACTTAGTAGTACTTGTAAAATCCGCATATGGCTTTATATGGCTTAGAAACCACTTTCGTTGACCCTTATTAACAACAACTAAAGAAAGACTGGACCCTGTAAAACCCTCATAACAAGGGGGCCGAAAAACTTAGAAGAGTGCTTGGGTGTGTGCTATACTATAATTATAATAAGCAGCCCCCAAAATCCTGTTCTAATTAAACCCTTAACCGAAACCCTAAACCCTATGAAACGAACCCTTAGGAACAACGTGCCCACTGATTCAGGCTTCCATAGTTAAGCCCTAGACCCTAAACCCCTGTACCCTGAACCCCAGACAGCCACTCCCTAAATCCTAAACCCTAAACCCAAACAGCCACTGCTATCCTGGGCGTCCCGGCCGCGATGCGCGCAGCCAGGATCGAGAAGTCCGGATGCTTCTGGGACATGTATGCACACGTCTCCTCAGAATCTAAGGATATCCGGATCCCTCCTCCGGATTTGGGTTTAGGGTTTAAGCTTTAGGCTTTAGGGTTTAAGGCTTTGGGTTTAGGGTTTAGGGTTTAGGGTTTAGGGCTTAGGGTTTAGGGTTTAGGGCTCAGGGTTTAGGCTTTAGGCTTTAGGCTTTAGGGTTAAGGGCTTAGGGTTTAGGGTTTAGTGTTTAGGGCTTACGGTTAAGGGTTCAGGGTTCAGGGTTTAGGCTTTAGGTTTTAGGGTTTAGGCTGTAGGGCTTAGGGTTTAGGGTCGGGGACACGAAACCCAAGCGACTGAGGGTAGAGTTTGGGCTTGGGCTCTAGGACATTTCAGGTGGGTAGTTACCGTTATAGGAGCCTGTTAGAAGGTCTATATACCTTATAGACCCTAAACCCTAAACCCTGAATAGAAGCCTTATAGAACCTTGGGGTGTTCAATTTTTGAGGCTTGGCGGCTGAAGGGCTAAGGCGCTGGCTCGAGTGGGGCTGGCGAGGAAACGGTTTAGGGTTTAGGGTTTAGGGTTTAGGGTTTGGGGTTTAGGGTTTGGGGAAGAGGGTTTAGGGTTTGGGGTTTGGGGGTGGTATGCACTACGCCCAAAGCCTACACCCTCAACCACCAACCCTACAACCACGGAAACCCGAAAACCACCGAAACCGGAAAACCACCGAAACCCGAAAACCGCGAAAACCCGAACCCTAAACCCCTAGACTCTAGACCCGGAACGAATATCCACTTACAGATCCTACCAGTACATAATTTCACGACGGTATGCACAATCATAAACCTAAGCCCTACAAATCCTGGTCCTAAACCCCTAAACCTAAAACTAAAACCCTAAAGAAACCCCAAAGAAAAATCCTAAAACCCTAAACCCCAACCCCCTTTCCTTTAAGCCCTATAACTACCCCGAATGTCCCAAACCCTCACTCTCAAACCCCAGAATCCTAACCCCAAAACCCTCAAACGGTTTAGGGTTTCGGGTTTAGGGATTAGGGTCTAGCCCCTAAGCCCCTCGTCCCGCCAAGCTTCGGCGGCTAGCTCATCAATCTGGGCCGTGGTGATCCCACTGTGGAATCCGTCGAGAACCTATCCGTGTCCCCGACTCTCAGAGGATCAGACAAAACTGCCAGAAGGCTATCCTACCATTATATGGGTTTAGGGTTTAGGGTTTAGGGTTTCGGGTGTATCCTACCATTATATGGGTTTAGGGTTTCAGGTTTTACCTTTAAAATGGGTCAAGATGACTTGATCTAATGGTCTGAAGAATTGCGCATGGGATCCCCCTAGGGTCCCTATATGATTATGCTGGAACGTACCCCTAAACCCAATAAAAGGACTGTCCTGATTCTTATCCCTACAATATCCTTTTCGAGCGAGTAAGAACAGGAGGAGGGCTCTCAAACTGGGTTCAAGCTGGTGTTCCAAAGGGGTGGCACTACAAGGCTTTATCAGGGGTTTAGAAAAATGCTGAAGGGATTTTCTGAAACCCTTAGCCCTGAACCCTAAACCCTAAACCCCTAAACTCTAAACCCTAAACTCTAAACCCTAAACCAAAAACCGTTTTATAAGGGCGTCGGCGAACGTGCTTTCCCGGACTGCTCCGGGGGTTTAGGGTTTAGGGTTTAGGGTTTCTTCTCAAGTACTCTATGCATCAGAGTGCCTTCTTTTCGGGAACTCCCAGACAGAAAGAACCTTGCAAACTAGACTAGAACGCGAAAACAAAACTTAACAGATGCCCGGTAAAAACCGTCAAGACCATTGCAAGACCGCTTACATGTCAAAAACATGTGAAAAACACACCTACAAACCCCACCCTATTCCCAAAGCACTACAAACTAAACCCTAACCCGAAAACTCTACAAACTAAACCCTTAACCCTAAACCCTAAAGCCCGAATCCTAGGAACCGCACCTTCATGGTGATCCTCACCGGGTCGATAAAGTCGGAGTCTAAGCCATCACACAAAGCCTGGCCGCATGTGTTTGGGTCTAACACTTAAGGGAGTTAGGGTTTAGTTTAGGGTTTAGGGGCTCAGGGTTTAGGGTTTAGGGTTTATGCACTTAAAGGATCTAAGGCTCAGAGCTTTTGAGGTGTAGGCCTCTCGGCTGTAGGCTGTAGAACTTTAGGGCTTTCCAGGAACAGAATGCCAGTCATGCTCTAGTCGCTCTAGCCACGACCACGGGATACATATGACTCTCATATGATTTCTATGAGCCATTCGAGGTTCTTGGGACGCTGCTGCTGCCACCCGTGATACGACCGATACAGTGAGAAATGGGCGGACTTCTCTGGAGCAGGCTTTTTTCTCCTGCGTTAGAGATGAGAGTCGTATGTGCTGCTGCAGAATCCGTAAGCAAGTCCCTAAACCCTAAACCCTAAACAAGCTTCGCATTCTGACACGGTCTCAGGCATCGAAAGAGCTCGCGACGGAGGATGCTCTTCGTTAGGGTTTAGGGCTTAGGGTTTAGGGTTTAGGCTGCTTTTGTTCTCTGGTAAGTCCTGGTCTCATGGACTGGCTGCTTTCCCGACCCGTCAGACTGAGAACGGAGAACGGCAGCATCTGAACACCAGATGCAAATCAGCAAAGTGGCCGAAGATCTTGACGTCCGGCTAGCCACAGCCGCCTAAAATTCTGCTGCCCAACTACCCTTTCAGTAGAACTCCCATGGTCCTTAATTCGAGTTCTTTCCACCCCTAACTCCGATAAGACCAGCTAGAGGGACGGTCAAAGCCCAAACCCCAAAACCGAAGCTTGATCCTAGCTTAGTGTTTAGGGTTTATAAGTTTAGGGTTTTAGGATTGTGGTGCTTGGGCTGAAGGGTTGAATTACGGCTCGGGACTTGCGGATTGTAGCCGCAGCGTAACCCCAGCTGCTGGCCTGAATTCGCTTCGTGATGTTGTCGAACTTCACCTGCGCAGCGAAACAACAAAACGTTTCAGTTTCGGGTCTAAACCCGAAACCCTAGACCCTAA